AAACACCAAGAATATATCCATCCTCTGTGGTAACTTCATATTCCTCGCTGGGGTATCCATGATATCTGATAATTTCACCCTGTGGGAAGCCAAAGGAGAGCTTGCTAACATGCAAGTTGTCTTGTTTTGGAGGGCAACCAAGCTGAGCAGTGTGCATGTCGGTTGTTCTGTGTTGGCAGTGCAAGGGCCCTGGCCGCAGGGACCATGGCTGAGAATAAATATTGCAGGTCTTGTAAAAAGATGCCTCAAAGTCTTCTTCAGACCTGCTTAGGTGGTAGCTGTCTGGCATTTGACCCCATATTATGGGACAAAGCAAAACTGTACTGAGTGACTATCCTTTTGGGAGATAATTTGTCATGTTTTGCAAGACTGAGACAGATCATACCTTTCTACAGATTAAATACAGAGCAGTAGCTGCATAAGACAATGCCAAAAGCTGTGGGGTTTTGTTGCCAAAGTGTGATTAGACAAGCCATGGAGGCAAGGCAAACAAGGGTGGAGCTCTTGTCACTAAAGAACTCATGAGACCACCTACACCTAATTTTGCATGTACGGTGAGGAAATCTTTGGTGATTCAGAGCAACGGGTGTTGGATTACTTTGCGTTATGAGAATCTCCTCTTTGAAGAAAGGGTTCAACCTCCCTTGCCACTGTACTGAGCAAACAGGTTGTTACAGAAGGGGAGGACTTTGCTTCCCTTAAGACTAGAAACTAGCCTTTGCTTCCACTGCAAAGGAATTCTCTCTGGCAGCTCGGACTGTTTGGATAAGAGCATCAAGGTTTCTTCTAGGCTCATGCTTCCTATCATACTGCTGGAGGGATCTTTGTCCTTTGCTAGGATTGCACTCTTCCCTTCTTTGTGTGGTAGCCTGAAATACCAATATGTGTTGAGAAAGGTGACTGCAAACAAGTGTCGTGAGGCATGGCCCAGCCTCATGTTCATCATGTATCATATCATATCATATCATCTTTTGGGGTTCACCCTAAATGCAGGCAGTGAAAGTCTGTTGTTCAGTTTGATACGGACTGGAGCATGTAGTCTCTGCTCTGGCCACAGTCTAGGGCTGAGTCCTGTTTCTGGGGTCAAAATTCAGTAGCCTGGATCTCCAGTACCCCTCAGGAGGTTCTGGGGAGTTGCCTGGCCTTGGAGCCAAAAGTAGCAGCTGGCAATCTCCATTGCAGTGCTATGTGTCTGTCCTCATGCAATGTGCAAGAGTCACATCTGTCCCTGGCACATTCAGAGCTGGCCCTCGTTGCACTGGTGACTCTAATGCAGTGGGTTTGGAAAAGGCAGGATGGGAAAATGGCAAATGTAGAAAGGGCACTTCTTAGCCTCCTGAGAGAGACTGTTAGTGATGGGACAGTGGTAGTGGTACTTGAAGAGATGCTTAGAATGAAAAGGAGAGAAGGCGACCCAACTTACAACGTTCATAAAGCATTCAGGGTTCCGAGTCTTCCTGTACTGGCTTTTGTCTGAATTCAGGGTGGAGGCTGTTGTGAGTCCGCCTGAAAAGGCAATTCCCTGGGAGCAGAGCAGCATGAGGAGCCACCACATCTTGGGACTGTGTGAAAGAGCACATGCAGGGGTGTTTGCGTTAGGAAAAGAATGCTGTGGAATTCCACAGGAAAACCCAAGTGGGGAGTCTCCAGAAGGTTGCCCAAAATCTGTTCCCCAAGGGGCTGCCGGAATAAGTACCTGTGTGAGGAGGGCCTGTCCACAGCTTGCGCTGTGTAACAGGGAGGGTTGCAGAACAGGTGAGGAAAACACTTGGGGATACCATACAAGAATATACCTGAGCACTCTGCAGATGACAAGGGAGCTGTGGGCTAGGAAGGGCCAGCTCTTGGCATGAGTCTAGCAGAAGCTTGACAAAGAAGCATGAGTACCTGAGATGACCATCATCTAGCTTGTCTACCTTTACCTGCCTCCACTTCTCTGCCAGCAGGAGAGGTGAAAGGAGAAGAAAGGACTGTTTGTTTCCTGTCTCCTCAGGAATGAGGTGAGAGAGGTTTGGGATGGACTCTCTTTCCACCTGCCCTCTTCTCCTTTGGGCTCAAATGCTATTCTTGGTGCTGGTCAGTGGTGTGCTGGGGTGAGGGATCAGTCAAAGAGGCTCATGAAGTGTTGTGCAGGGGCCAGGAGTGATTCAGGGACTCTGAGAGGAGATGTAACGCGCTTAGCAGAACATGCATGCACCAGATCAGTGCCAGTCTGCACTTTCACCATGAGGTGATGTGCCCCAGACCAGGTTCAAGTTCTGTTTGAAATTAGTTCCTCTGAGAATATGAAGCAAACAAGTTGACCGTGTGTGGCTTCCTAGAAGCCCCATGTGTCAGTTCCCAGTCAGCCTTGCCTTTCAGACCGAAACTGAGCCATCTAGGTCTCCATTTACCATCCCCTTGGGCTTCTTCACCAGCCCCTTGCTGCACACTTCTTCCAAAAACCTGCTCTGCTATCCCCAGATAATTGCATTTTCCTACTGCTACTTCTGAGCCCAAAGTTTCTGCCTCTCAAAATTGATGGCTGCCACCTGCCAAGAAACCATGGAATGATTTGGTTTTAGAGCAGTGAACAATGGATTCTGAGACTGCCATCATGTTGCCAAGGGCCTGTCTCCTGTATCTTTTAGAAATGGCTGTCCATATTGCAAATCTTGTCTTGGTCATGGGGAGGTGAGACCTTGCCCTGAGACCTTTGGGTTGACTGATGGTACCAGATTAGCTTTTCTGAATAGAAATTGCAGAGTGCAGTCTATCTAGCACCAGTTTATGCCAACTCCACCTACAATAGATATATTTCCAAGTTTTAGTCTTCATTTTCCAGAACCCAGTCAATGAGTGCAGGAACACTGCTCTCTGTGAGCTTCCCAGACTTTTTTTTCAACATGCAAATTTTGACTCAAATGCTCCCTACAAAAAGGGAAGAGCAGGTTCTGAGTCCCAGAAAGTTACTTGGGAGTGGGACTGTGAGTTAAAACTGTTTGGAGAGCATGAGAAGTGCTGACATGTTCAGTGCTCCTTGCCTATAAGAGAGTTTCAAGTAGGTAGGATAATGATTTTTCTTTCCAATCTGAAGAACTGTGCAAAAAGGATTCATCCATGAAGCTCAGGACTGTGCTTAAACATTCTGGAAAAGCCCTTATACATCTAATTGTTGTATGCTGTGCCTGCACATGTGAAGAGAGGATGAGGGCTGTGAAAAGAAAAGTAGCAGCCATCCTGTATGTGGATAAAGACCATAAAGATCAGGCCGGCTGCCTAAATGTTCAACAGTAGGATCCATGGGACAAAAGGGACACATAATGCAATGTAAGACTTCAGCTCATCAAGGCGTCTTGTAAGATTACCTCACCAGTAATGACTGGGGACATTACTGCTTTTGTAAGCTTGGTTTCCTCAGAAGAAGAGGACATGCTTCTGTGACCGCAGTGTGTTTATGTTCATTCACCTTTCTGTCCATCCTGTAATTAACTTTTGATGTCATTGGTAAATATCTGCCAAGTTCAGCACTGAGATACAAGCCTGTAAGGTAATGGGGTTCGCAGGAGCTCCTGAGGACTCTTTGCTGGGGAGGACTATTCAGTGGGGTTAGTGCCTTGCTGGGGGAAAGGCAGGCCAAAGGCAGCTGTTGTATGTTCTGCAACCAGCTGAGCAGTCAGCAAGAGTGAGCTAGCCAACTAGGCAGTGTCTGTGTAGCTTCAAAGCAGCCACAGCATGCATGGCTGGGCATCATGGTTTGTGAGAGAATTTTGTTCTTCTGCTTGTGTTATAGTTTGCATTAGGAAGTTAAGCAGACTCAGGAAACAAGTCTTTCTGAAACCAGGCATTGACAGGTCCACTAGGTGTGGAGAATCCAATTTCAGTCACACGTTTCTGGAGTCTGCTTCTAGCATAAGACATCTGCTATGATGAGACATGCTGTTCTACAAAGTTTATTTGGACTTGGAAATGGAGCTACAGATAAGAGAAAATAAGAGAGTATTCCCTGGCAAGTAATGGGGAAGATGAGCGGTGTTTGTGGGAGTGAGGGAGGTTTAACCAAGAGATTTTTACACTCTCTAAATCTACCTACAGGAGAAGGAGTTTTGACTTTTTCCGATCTTCTATTTAACCTTTAAATTTGACTGAACAAATTTAAAGAATTCAAACCTCATGAGTCATCAGACAGCTGGAATGAAGCAGCATTTGGAAACACCCAGAACTTTAAACTTGGCATCAAAACACACTCTATTCAATTCCCTTTCTTAATTTTTTTTGTCAAAACAGGAAGCCTCGCAACTACATACTCAGTCAGCACCACACTCTTTTTTGCTTTCTGCTGTTTTACTCTGTTCTAATGGGAGTAAAATATGTCTCCCTCTCCCTGCACAGGGAATTTCATTTGAGAAGAAGAAGTTCTGCTAATGGCTCAGCTTGTTGTCAAATCACTACCAGGACTAGTTGAGGCAATGCACAGGCTAAGTTATTCCTCTTGTTACGGCAAATTTTCTCTGCACTTGATGGTCACCTGGCTTAGCTGACATGGCTCATGGACTTTTAAATTTGCCTTTTAAATGAGATACAGCAGGGTAAGTAATATCAATCTTGGCAGGCCACTGCTCCCTTAAGCTTCAGGAATAAAGACAGTTAAGAGACATGAACAGACATTTTTACCTAGTGAGATGAAGTCATAAGGAAATACTGGGCATGGTAAACTGTCATAAAACTACATACTTAGAAGAAAAAAAGGTCAGAGAGAGAAATGCCCTTGAAAGATCTTTAGGTACTTTTAAGATTTAGTGAAACTAAGATACAAGCCCTTCAGAAATTCATCCATCTATCCTTGTGTTTTAAGCAGCCTAAAATTTATTTAACATAAGCTGTAAGGCATGAACACACCAACCAGAGAAGCAGCTGTGACTAAACGCATATCAGAATCTGCTGCCTTACTCACTTACAAAAGATACATGTGCATCACACTACAAGAGCAGGAGGTCCAGTTTACACACACTGTTGCAATACTGGGACTTTCATTCCCTTGTTTTCAGACTGAAGAAAACAAGTAGAGGAAAATGAAGTAGTTGCTCTTTTTCTTCTTTTTGTGCAGGTCAAAATTCTTTGTCTTCTAACTTGAGCAAACAAGCAGTTTGTGCATAGCAATAGGCTTACAGATCAGAGAGGCAGAAAGCTGTCTATTCTTACAAACAACTGCACAAAAACATCTTTATGGAGACAGGCAACAGAGAAAAAGACCATGAACGCAATATGTACAAGCACCTTACCTCTGCTTTGACTGCCTTGCTTGTGTCTTCTGCTGCAGTTCCTGGTCTGTCTCCACTAGCAGACTGATTCACTGGCAGAAACTTGCACCAATAAAAGGAAGTCAAAACACAATGAGCGCTTCAGGGTAGCAGCCATGAGTGTCATGAGTTGGCAGCATGTATTGTAGAGCGTGTTTAAGTGCTGATTTGGCAGTGCTTCAGAAGTGGAGAAATCTTTGTGATGAAAAAGATCTTCTGGTTCACAAACCCAAAATGTACCACAGAGCAGGAGAGCTTAAGAATTACCTACAAATCAGTGGTTAGGATGTTTAGCTGGAACCTGGGTGTTCCAGTTCCCTGAGGCTATGGCAGACCTTGACCTGTACTGTTGCCCAACTGAGGGGCTTCTCTGAATGTAATCTTTTAGGATGAAGAGGATGAAGTGTCCAGCTTCTCTCAACATACTCTCTCAAGAATACTGTCTCTGCTATTTCTTTTGATTTGGTTTATGTTAACTTTAACATTACACATAGACTCCTAAGTCTGTTTTTCAGTGAGCAGCACATCTCATGAAACCCATCTTATTCTACATTAGTCACTCGGAGTTGACATGGCTTCTGTAGGGACCCTCTAGTGCCAAAGAAGGCTTGAACACTTCATATAACCTTTCTCCCAGTGAGGGAACAAACAAAGGTTCTTGTTTCTCCGAAGCCATTTTCATCAACTCTAAAAACAGTATCTTTGGGGATCTTTGCCTCAATGCTGAACTAGTTGTGGTCAGCCTGAGAGCTCAGTCCTCACTGAAATTGGCTCAATGACCACGGGCAGAAGGACACATTCTGTGTCCTTAGGTAGCTGGGCTACAAAGTAGAATCCTCCTATGTGAGGACTGGCCTTTTCAGCCAATTAACTTACAAGTGTCTTCAGTAGAACTTGTGTTTCGTCGTGGACTGATAAGCATTTAGAAGAACACCAGATGGAAGGGATATGTTCTTGGGAACACCATTGCAAATAATACAATGCCTTTGGGTGGTGGGGGAAGGGAAGGAGTGAAGTAAGAACAGGGTGTCAGTGAAACCACAGTAACAGTTCTGCTTTACATACAAAGTAAAGAATATTTGTTTGGGATGGTGAAAGAGGTAATTTGCTAATTTGACAGTGAAAAGTGTTATAACTCAGCTGCTCTGATGTCTCTTAGTGACAATAACTTTCATCAAACCATAAATTAATCACTCAGAAGGGCTTCTTCAACATGACGTCTAGTCCCTCCTTGTGTCCCAAGGTGGGATCAACAGTCCCCATGATGCTTCCAATG